TCCGATCTCGCCAGAACCACGCTGGGATGCTCTACACAGCTAGCGATACAACGTCGCCAAAGAGGCACTACCCCAGCTGTAGCCTCGGATATGATCCTAGTCGTGGTCTAACAGTTGTAGGTAAATAAGCTGCAGATGGCTCCCGCTCTTGTTGCCGAACAACACGCCCGAGATGAGCAGGAACAGGTATGCTCGAGCGTGTCTCTGAACCGTGGCATCATCAGCGTCCGCAGGCAGCGCACGAAAAGTTTTGCGTATCCAACGGGTCCTCAACCTGGAGCCCTTGATCTCGTCGAGACCTGGCTGAACCCCAAGAACCCGAGCTACCAAACTAAGGGGATCGACTAACGCGAGTCCTGTCATAGCACGGCCGTGTATAGGAAGGCGCGTGAGTATCGCTACGTCCCGCAATGTAACGGTCGCCTCCCCAATAGGTAGATGCACTACTAGAAATAGGTCTATTTCCGACGGACATGAATTTCCGTTGGAAAAATTAGAAATTCCGACGGATGTTTTATTCCGTAGGAAATTTCCGACGGAATATTTATCCGTAGGAAAATAAAGGATTTCCGACGGATTATTCCGTCGGAACGTTAAATTTCCAACGGAAAAAAATTCCGTCGGAATCCTCCGACGGATTTTTCCATCGGAATATCAAACTTCCTACGAAAATAAAATCCATCGAAAAATTCCGTGGGAAAATTTATTTTCCGTCGGAATTCAGGTTAAAAAAAAAAAACCAAAAAAAAAAACAAAACCCTACATTTAAAAGCCGGATCTCATTCCTATTTTCTCACTCCTCTATTTCGCCTCTTTTCTCCTTCTCCCTCCTCTCCTCTTTCCCTTCTCTTCTGGTTTCTACTTCTCCCTCCTCTCATCTCCTCGCCCTTCTCCCTCCTCTCATCTCCTCGCCGTTCTCCCTCCTCTTCTCGCCCTCCTCTTCTCGCCCTCCTCTTCTCACGTTTCTCTTCTCTTCTCCTCTCTCTTTCTCTCTCCTCTCCTCGCCCCCCTCTGCTCACCATACGTCACCTCCACCCCTCCTCTTCTAACGTTTCTCTTCTCCTCTCTCATTCTCTCTCCTCTCCTTGCCCTCCTCTTCTCACCGTACGTCACCTCCACCAGCACCGTGCTCACCGTACACCACCACCGTACCACTCTCATTCAAAGTTTATGGTTTTTTTGTTCAAACTCGACCTTGAAAATTCCAGATCTGGAATTTTCATGGTCGAGTTTGACCATTTAAACCTAACAAAGATGAAATTTCAAAAGGTATGTTTATTTTTATTTAGTATTGTGAGTTAATTTTTAATTCATGGGTTTATTTGTGATTTGGTTTTTTTTCCTGGCTTTTGTTTTGAATTTCTGAGTTTGGTTTTGCTGAATTTGATTTTTGTATATTCAATTTTTCTGTTTGAGTTTTAGTTCTGTTATTTTGTTTTTTTTTTTTGATTTTGTATATTCAATTCTGTATTATTTGTTTGCTGATTTTGTTTTTGTATATTCAATTTTGTTTTTTTTTTTATTTTGTTTTGCTGATTTTGCTTATTGGATTTGTTTCCGTTTTTTTTTTTTTTTTTTTATGAATTTTCTTTTTTTTTTATTCTGGGTGGCGGTGGTCTAGGTGAAGGTGGTGGCTGTCCGAATGTGGTTTAGGTGGAGGTGGTTGGGTGGTGTGGGGTTAGGCGTGGTGTGGGTGTGCATGGATGGGTTGGAGGTGGTTAGGCGTGGTGGTGGGTGTGGGTGTGGGCGTGGTGGCTGAAGGTGGTGGTGTTGTTTTTTTTTTAATGCTGTTTCCGACGGATTTGTACCCCGTCGGAAATTTCCGACGGACTTTTCCGGTGGCCGGAACTCCTCTTCCGACGAGAAAATTCCGTCGGAAAACTCCTTTCCAACGGAAAAGGCCGATTTTCCTACAAATGGGTTTACGACAACTTGTTCCGACGGAATTTCCGTCAGAAACGGGGTTTCCGACGGATTCACTACTAGAAATAGGTCTATTTCCGACGGACTGTTTCCGACGGACATGAATTCCGTAGGAAAAATAAATGATTTCCGACGGATTATTTCGTCGGAACGTTAAATTTCCTAGGGAAACAAATCCGTCGGAAACTTCCTACGAATTTTTCCATCGGAATGTCAAACTTCCCACCGAAATTAAATCCGTCGGAACTTTCCGACGGATTATTCCGTCGGAATTCAGGTTTTTTTTTTAAAAAAAAAATTAAATAAAACCTTACATTTAAAACCGGATCTAATTTTCTCACTCCTCCATTCCGCCACTTTTCTCCTTCTTCCTCCTCTCCTCTTTCCCTTCTCCCTCCTCTCATCTCCTCACCCTCCTCGCCGTTCTCCCTCCTCTCATCTCCTCACCCTTCTCCTCTCCTCTTTCCCTTCTCCCTCCTCTCCTCTTTCCCTTCTCCTTCCTTCTCTCTCCTCTCCTCGTCACCTCCGCCCACGAGCACGGTCCTCACCGCCCACCACCACCAACACGTTGCTCACCACACACCACCACCGTGAAATTTATCTCCTCTCATTCAAAGTTTATGGTTTTTTTGTTCAAACTCGACCTTGAAAATTCCAGATCTGGAATTTTCGTGGTCGAGTTTGACCATTTAAACCCAACAAAGATGAAATTTCAAAAAGTATGTTTATTTTTATTTAGTATTGTGAGTTAATTTTGAATTTGTGGGTTTATTTGTGATTCGGTTTTTTTTTTGGCTTTTATTTCTAATTTCTGAGTTTGGTTTTGCTCAATTTAATTTTTGTATATTCAATTTTGTATGATTTTTGCTGATTTTGTTTTTGGATATTCAATTTTGTTTTTTTTTTATGAATTTTCGGTTTTTTTTTTTGCGTGGCGGTGGTCTGGGTGGCGGTGGTCTTGGTTGTGGTGGGGGTGGGCTGGTGTGGTAGGGTGTCTGGGTAAGTTAGAGGGTAGGGGGCAGGGCCGGGGTGGGGTGGGCTTCTGGTGGTGTGGGGGTAAGTCAGGGGGTAGGGGGTGGGGTGGGCTTCTGGTGGTGTGGGGGTAAGTCAGGGGAGTATGGGGCATGGGTGGGGTGGGCTGGTGGTGGTGGGCAGGGGGTAAGTCAGGGGGTAGGGGGTGGCTGGTGGGTGGGGATTTGGATTATGGTGGCAGTGGGTGGGCTGGTGGTGGGGGTGGTGGGTGGGGTTTTTTTTTTTTTTTTTAATAAATTTTCCGACGGAATTTCTGTCGGAATATTCCGACGGATTTAATTTCCATCGGAAATTTCTGACGGACTTTCCGGTACCTGAAAATTCTCTTTCGAGGAAAAAATTCCGTCAAAATTCCGTTGGAAAAGGCCGTTTTCGACGGTAAAGGCCGTTTTTTCCTACAAAAGTGTTTCCGACAACCAGTTCCGACGGAATTTCCGTCGGAAACGGCCTTTTTCGACGGATTTCAGGGTGTTTCCGACGGAATTTCGCCGTCGGAAATGGCCTGTTTTCTAGTAGTGATTTCAGGGTGTTTCCGACGGAATTTTTCCGTCGGAAATGGCCTGTTTTCTAGTAGTGGATGGAAGGAGTGCGTCTCCTGTCTCCATCTCTCCGCGAGCGCAGTGACAAGCGCTCGATCGATCTCTCTGAACGCCATTCGATGAATACCGCCCAAGCCAGCCAACTCAACGTACGGAATAATGCGTGGATCGACAACCCAGTCACCCATGTGTTTGGTAGTGTAGTGCCTGCAAACCAGCATCCTCACTGTATCAACCTGATAAATAACCGTACGACCGTAAATAACTTTAGATACTATATCAATTTAACATGCATACAAGTACATGAACTGACGGATGAAATATTACCGACTGATCCCATATGTCAACGCTCCGATGTTTGTCCTGTAGTGTCAGGATAGAAGGGTCAACAGGTTCGGGTGTCCTATCTTGTCCGTCCATGATATCTGTTCATTAACAACGTTACATACTAATTTTCAACACAATTACTGGATTAGAAATTAAACATGAGCAAAATCCCAAATTAATGGCAACGACAAACGGTAAATTTCAAATGTCAAACTTCAAAATAGAAATGTTCCAAGTAAAAATTACAAATGTTATAAACGTTACAAATTTAGAAACAAAAGCAAGCTAGTATTCTACTACAGCATTCTACAAATACAAAGTTAGGTCCCGGTCGGTTTAGAAGGACACGTTCTCTGGTTGTGACCCTACTAGTGACAGCGGCTGCATTTGCTCGGGGGGCGGTTAGTCTCAGCCATTTCATTGCGTATGCTTTTTGACTTTGGCCGACCTTGTCCTCGTACCATGCTGCAGTCCGGAATGAGTTTAGGGCCGGTGAACTCTGCCCTGGTCATCTCACAGGGGATAGACCAGAACTGTGGTGCATAGGTGTTCGTATAGGCCTCCGAATGCAGCACACGGTCCACCCATGGCCGCTCTGATAGTGAATACTTCGCACAAACTGCTAGAACATAAGAACATGCATGGGAGGTGGAATATCCGTGGTTTGTTGCATGTACACATCCTCAACTGAAAGTTAATATTATGTTTATGACCTCCTTTTCTACCAAGTCGCTTTCCCCTTTCGGTTGTAACTTGATATATATGCAGTCGACGATTATACGCATCCACTTTGTGATATCTTGCTTTTGCGGTGTTCTTCTCCAGAATGACAGTGACCTTGGGGGGGTATGCAAGTCCTTGTTCAGACCTAGCCTCAAAAGATTCCCTTCTTAAAGTGAAGTACCTGTTAACTATGTGGAAAGTTAACTCGACAAGGGACATGATCGGTAGAAACCGAGCTCCCTTCAACACATTGTTAAATGTTTCAGAGAAGTTTGTAGTACATATCTCATATCTACGACCAGCGTCGTGAAACAAAGACCACATAGGAAACGACACCTGGACAATATACTCTATGGCCTTGGTACATGCGTGACCGATCGAACACAGATCAGCTTGCAGTTTTCTTTCTTGCCTTTGGTATGCAACAACCTTGAACATATCTCTCATGTCATTGCTTCACACGTGATTTTTCAAGTTAGAAGCCATGTGGCGAACACAAAACCTGTGATAGACTCGCGGCTTGTTGAAACCAACGTTAGGATCATTAATTGTTGCAATGATCCCAGCATGTCGATCAGATATAACATAGAGGCCATCTCGTTGCGTGACATGAACCCGAATGCAGCCCGGAAACCAAGACCATCTGGAAGTGTTTTCCCCTTCAACCAACGCAAATGCTAGCGGAAATACTTGGAAGCTTGCATCCACACTTGTAGCAACCAAAAATGTTCCTTTATACTTCCCGTACAAGTGCATCCCATCGATACAGATAACAGGCATACAATGTTTAAAACCATCGATACAAGGACCGAAGGCCCAAAACACCCGGTCAAACACTTCCATGTTGCTATAGTAAACACCATCCACCAGAGCTTTGTGTTTCCATACAACAACAGTTCCCGGATTTGACTGTTGGAGTGCTTGTATGAAGTGCGGAAGTCTGCCATAAGAACTCTCCCAATCCCCAAATATTTTAGCTATAGCTTTCTCCTTGGCATACCATGCTCTTCGATACAGAACATCGAAATGAAATTGCTTGGAGATGGAATCCTGTATGAATTCAACTTTCAAGGACGGATCTTTCTGCACAAAGGACTTCACATACTCAGATACTATGGACGAATCCAAGTGTGGGTGATTAGTAGATAGTACTTCAGTGACACAGTTCTCCCGGTGTGGGCCTTTATATGTGACTAGGGTGAAGCCACGCGCGTGCTCACTTGTTTTAGTACCCCGTAACGACCAACCACATTTCTTCTTGCACCGCGGATGAAGGACATTCTCATTCGAGGTCACTGTGGTGTAAAATTGATTTCTCTGTAGAGAATACATCTTCACCATTTCTTGAAGCATTTTCTTACTTTCAAAAAACATGTCCTTCTCAAATTCTCCCCCAGGATCAAACGATGTATGGCTACCCGATTCGGCCCGATACTGATCAACTTCGTAGTTCTCGTTTACCTGACTGAACCAAGGTATGGGAGTTCTAACCACGGCCTCACCAACTTCCATGCGTGCAGGTTCAACATCCATGTTGTCAAGACCATCTTCCTCCTCTCCGCTCTCGGCCTCATCATTTGTTTCAGCATACACATCATACACAGACAATTCATTACTCACAATATTTTCTAGATTTTCAAGATGATTTAGCATAGGTTGAGACGGTGATGCTTGTACATCATCTTGCATAGGTGAAGCTATATGAGAACTAAACGGCATGTGAAATTGATCGTCGTGCAACATTCTACTGAAAGATCCCATCCCATATTCATGATCCCATCCCATATTCATTTGTTGGAATGTCGTGTGAGGGCATTTACAAGGACTCTGTGTTGTAACCGGAAATATATGTTGCTTGTTGTTCTGGCCGAGTACTTTGTTGGGTACATATAGGCACCATTTCTACATATATCTCAGTGGGAACACCTTTCATTGCAACGACGCTCCTCAAAGCTTTCAAATGTCTCCGTAAAAACAGGTAACACTTGGACCCCATTAACAGTCTCAAACCTCATTTTAATGTTCAGTTGAACGTTCATTGGGTTTGAACCAATACTACTATGAACCTCGTTCACCAAATCATTGAAAGTCATGTCTGGTTCAAGTGTTAGTGGTTCCATATTTCCTCCATTATACACAACATTTGGTCAAACAGACAGAATTTCACCTCCCCACTGACATAAAAAAAACTACATTTTGTGCAGCCATATTCTACATATTAACCAAAACACATTTTAGGATAATTGAATTCTAGAGCGAGGTAAAAAAAAGTTGACAAGAGCCATATTAATTGTTCATTTGTTGACAAGAGCCATATTATTTGTTCATTTTGCTGATAAGAGTCTTCTCACCAAATAATCTATGGATAAATTATCAATAATGAAATAAGAGTCTTCTCACCAATAATCTATAGATAAATTATCACATTTTAAACCACACTAATATTATAAATATAATGCCCTTAAATTTCACATAAATGTACCACATTACCATCAACAATTTCATCAACAATGTACCACATTACCATCAATAATTATCAACAATTTACCACATTTTCATTAATAATTAGCAATAATTTGATACAATTTACAACAATTAATCACAATTAAGAGCAATTATCAACATTACACTAATATGAATTTAGGGTTTACCACAAAATTGAGTGAGTGAGTGAGAGAGAGAGAGAGAGAGATAGAGGAATAGCAGCAACAGCGACCGGCGGCAGCAGCAACGGCGACAGCGGCAGCGTCGAGTGCGGTGGTTGAGTGTGAAAGTGTACGGGTCTTCTACCGTTAGTGAGAGAGAGTGAGAGTGAGAATTTGAGTGAAGTGAGAATGAAGCAGCCTGCGAATTCTGCCTGGAACATAATACCCAAGAAACGCTAACTGAGTCAGCGTTTCACTAAAAGGCATTTTTTTTAAATCAAAAATTACGAAATTTAAAAAATAAGTCAAAGAAGTAAAACGCTGCTTCAGCGTTTTACACTTTGTGTTTTTTTTTTTTTTTTTTTTTTTTTTAAAAAAAAATCAGGGGTATTTAGTTTGGTAAATAATTTGGCCACGAATCTACTTTACAAAATAGTTTTGTAATTAGGCTTACTTTGGAAAAAAGTCCGTAATTTTACAAACCCAAGATCTAGTTAAAAGTTGAATGCATGACTCTATTTTAGAGTCGAGGTGATCATTCATGAATTTGGGTAAATGGATCATTGGTATATACTCGGATATCTTGTAAGTTAGATTGGTCTGTTGTCCTATTGATTAGAGAATTTAAGAAACTTCTAATCATTCGATAATATATATTTTCTTCGTTTCTTTACACTTGCAACATTTCCCTAAAATGAAAATGTCACAATAGCTGTAGAAACACTATAAAAGGAAGATTTTTATAATGAAAATTGTATTATTACCTTTATTTAAAGTTCATGGCTCACTTGATTATACTCCTAAGAACCTCTTAACCCCATTTTAAGTATATTATATCATGTAAGGTTCAATTTTTCTTAAATATTGTGATAAAATGTGTGTTGCAACTATAAAGAAACAGAGGAAGTATGTAGTATAGTATAAAAAATATTTTATAGATGGGTAATGCTATATGCAGCCCTAAGAACTATAAGGGCTGCATATAAGCATTTAATATACTTCTTTTTTTAGTACTCGTATTAAGTTGGGAATTTATCGACAATTTACGAGTAAATCGGTGTAATAAATGTTTATTTATTGTCTATTTATTTTCACTTTTAGCTTTTTCACTTTGGGCTGCATATATCTTTTTCCTTATCTTATAATTTTCAATCAAAATGAAAATTCTACTAAGCTACACATTACCAAAATTGATTAATACTCCGTACTACATATACGGGGAGAGTGAAACTCATCCACTACTAAGGATGGCAATACTAAATAGATATCAGCTCCACCCGCTTTAAATAAATGGATGAAAACCCGATTTAAATGGATGAGAAGTTGGTGATGGATCGGATCGAATATGGATGATACTTACTTCACTCGTTAACCATCCACCCATCCGTTTAACATATATAAAAATTTGTATTTATAAATTTTTAGTAATAAAAAATAAAATGTGCAAGAAAATTACTTATGTTTGTGTTGCAAGTTAATTTTTTCAAAGAATACGTTGTTATTATTTTCTTTTTTATTATTAAAATAGAAATTTATTGTATAAATAACCGAAAGTTATAGTTTATGTCGATTTTTTTCACTTTAATTACTCATCTGTTACTCATCCGCTCCACCCGTTTCATCCGCAGATGATGGACGGATGGATGTGGATGGAGCAATTGGAATAATGGATGGATGCGGGTGAAGCTCCACCTGATCCAAATCCGATCCATTGCCATCTTTATCCAATACCCCTTCATTAAATTTCCCTATAAAAATCAAACAATTGGCCAATGGTGCGGAACTCATGAAAGGTGAAAGTTTCACCACCTCACATAATCAATCTTTATGGAAAAAGAAGTTGGATGCGTTAATCGCTTGTTTGATTTTCACAAATATAAGCTTAAAACATCTTTAAAAAATTTAAAACATAAAATCATACTGTTTAAATATTTATTCTATAAAGGAAGTTATATACTTATATGACTAAATTTCTCTAGACTCTAGGTAATTGAATGTTCTAATTGGTATCGATAAGCCTTTACATATTTTTTCAAATTTATAAGTATCTTTGGAAACATATGAATGGAGAAGCCAAATCAAGGCATATTACAGTAATGGATTATGTGAAGTATGACGTGGGTAAGAGCGTCGCCAAAACGCAAATAGCTCAAAATTTCATGTGGGACGGCTGAATGAAAGCAACTTCGAGTACAGCCTCCATTACGGGTGTTTTTTCTTTTTCATGAACTAGTTGGGCCTATTTCTCTAAATGGTCGGTGGTGGTGGGTCTCATTTTCATTACATTAGGTTTAATTACTTGCATAATTACTACTTACTCACTTACGTATATAAATTTAAAAAAAAAAAAAACCATATTCTCCCTCTATTTTTTTAAAAAATAACTCACTTGTATTTATGCGGAGTTTTAGAAGAGTTATTTGCTTTAATATTTTAGTATTAAATTATACAAGTGGGATAAGTGGATGATTAATTTATTTTGATAAAAGTACAATATAGGTCATAAAATAGATAGTATCGATAAGCCTTTACATATTTTTACAGATTTATAAGTATCTATGAGGCATTATTATTATTCACTAACATCATCTCCCTCATCTCACTTAAATATGTGATAACAAACTTACAAACAAGCCGTTAGTTCTTAGGCATAGTAAGTACAAAAGTTTAGATTTTTTTATGATTTCTTAATAGCGTAATGAATATAGGTTGTATAATGAATTTTAAAAAGTCATTCAACTTATATATATAAATGATAATCATGTTAATTTTGGAAATTGAGAACTTAATAGAAAACTATAACCTAAACTTATTTTCCAGCTTGAAAAATTCATTGTTTTCCATCCTATATATACAAACAACATAAAAAAGGAAAATCAAAATCATGTACTTTGTTTGAAAAATGCTTTCAATAAAAACAAATGGAGCCTAAAGAAAAAATGAACAAAGTATAAACTTCTCTAGTACAGGGGCCATCAATTTATTATCTAGCTATTTGGCAGAAACCTCTTTTTATTACTTCACCCGTCCCTAATTTTCACCCTGTTTGACTTTTCACAATCTCCAATATGTGTTTAAAAACGTTGATATCTCAAATTTATACGAGTAAAAAATTTGATATTACTAAAATATACAATGAGATGGATTCAACAAAATTCCACATGACAATTTTATCTCTTATGCATTAACGGGAATTTATATTCAATGTTGTTAAACTTTGACCAAAAATTGGCAATGGGCAAAATATTAGGGACAGGGAGTTTTGGTTTGTGAAAATAATTTTGGGCCATCTTACACAATTAATATCATCAAACAAAGCATAGTGGATAAGATGGTAGATTAGAATTAAACTCTGAAGCCCGACGTAGCAAGGCCTAAATTAAAGCCCTGAAAAGTCAGCCCAGATAAAAGTAGACCTAGCCCAATAGCTGCCTTCTTTAAAAAAAAAACCTATCCCAGCCCAAAGATGATCCGACCCATAAACATTGAATTTGAAACAAATTGCTCAATTTTGATCGAACCGAAATTGACCTAGTCTCAAAATTTTTATGACTAAGAGCGATCTACTCTCATTATATTTTATTTAGCTATTGACCTTAAGTGATTATATCATATTAATGGGTCCAAACACGGCAAACAGATTGAGTTATTTATTATCTGATACGGCTTAATTAAGTTGACTCGTATTAAACCTCATTCAATTGATTCTGTTTCCAATTGGAATGAGAGAGGATATGAATTCTAAAGAGAGCAAACCTAATTAAATATACTCCATTCATGTCATCATATGCATGAAAAGGAGACATACCTACCTTTTACACATCAAAATTTCAGTAATGGTATTCACATGCTAATAATGTTAAGTAGTGACTAACGTAGTAATGTGTGAATGAAATAGCCCAAGGCCCCAAGTAGATGAATGGTGCCAAATATATTGATTACGAAAGCCCTTGATATTTCTCCCAATCTTCAGTAATTGAATTTGAAGCTTGTTATTGTTGCTTTTGTAGCACATAAATCATCTTCAAGTAATAATGATATCATCCGACCCTTTTACAGATTTATTATGCGGCAATGAATTACTGTTGTTTCATTGTATGTTAAAAAAATTCATCCATCTTTTAAAAAAAAGTTCAAATT